TGTGTGTGTGTGTGTGTGTGTGTGTGTGTGTGTGTGTGTGTGTGTGTGTGTGTGTGTGTACAGGGTGTCCATAAAGTCTCTTTACCATTTCAAAAATTTATGAAAAATGCAATTGATTAGATATTTTATTCAGATTTGTTCTATTGTATTCAGTGTTTATTAAAGGTTTTTTTTTACCTCTTTTAATACATTTCTACATGGGCACCATTAGTTGCACGAAGCACATCAAGATGGTACTCAATTTCTTGCCATGTTCGCTGTAGCACAGCCTCATCAATTGTGGCAATGGCATCAGTAATCCTTTGCTTTAGGTCAGTAATGTGCCTTATCTTTGTTTGACACACGATATCTTTAACATAGCCCCATAGAAAGAAGTCCAGGGGAGTGATATCTGGTGAACGTCACGGCCAAGGAATTGGCCCATCAACTTCCAATCCACCGGTCTGGAAATGTTTGATTGAGGAACCCACGAACATGCAGCCCCCAATGTGGTGGTGCACCATCTTGCTGAAAAATTATGGTTGGTTGAAGGTCATTCAGTTGTGGTGCCACATATTCAGGAAAAAGGTCAAGGTAAACATTTGCAGAAATTTTGTAGGGGTTCATTCAAAATCACCTCTTTCACAAACAGGATCCCTGAAACACACAAATGCAGTGTGATAAAAAACTTTAATAAACACTGAATACAATAGAACAAATCTGAATAAAATATCAAATCAATTGCATTTTTAATACATTTTTGAAATGGTAAAGAGACTTTATGGACACCTTGTCTATTTTTTTAAGTAAATTCAACAAAATGTCAGTATAATAAGCCTCTGAATGTATTCTTTTAAATAATTTTGCGATAATACTCACAATTAATGTGAATGGTTTTCCGTTCCTCACGATTGCTAAAAATCCAGCAAAACTAGCGGAGTTATAGTCAGCTTGCCGGGTCCATACGCAGAGTTGCTGCTGGCTAGCTTGCACCCTGCTCAGTAGCTTGAGCGCTTCCTTTCCGCTGTCTCTCGTAGGGTATTTTGATGTGAACATGGCATGGCGCGTGTCAAAGTGCCATTTTACATTCGACCGTTTCATCGATGGTATTTTGTCATTGCAAATCAGACACACCGCAGAACCTGTTCTCTCCACAAAGGCGAATCCTTCGGTCCATTCGTCCTGAAGTCTACCATACTCGTCATCTTTTTTTTATTTTTGCCATTTTATTCGTTTAGGATTAGCTTTGAGCTAATGACCGAGCGGGTTGATTCAAAAGGGGACGTTTACCTGTTTCCGCAGCAACGGCCAACGTAGGCCAGTATTATACAATCAAATTTGCTCCTGGAGCCAACTGCAGCCCTGAACAGGAAATGAGCAGTAAAATAAAAAATAAAATAGAATCGATGGATGGATTAAACAAGCATGAATATATTGTTTTATCTGCGAGCCAGATACAATCATCAAAAGAGCCACATATGGCCCGCGAGCCATAGGTTTTTAGACCTCTGGCCTAAAATAATGTACAGTTTAGTATCACTTCTACCTTCAGTGCCAGCATCAGTAATCAGCAGTGTAACAGCCATGACCCCACCTCCAACATGTTTTCCCTGCAATGTGAAGCTTTGCTTTTGTTCATGGGTCCCCTCCCCTACATGAACATTCTTTTCTATTATGCTTCATCTTCATGTTCTGATTTGCACACACGAACGTTACTGGGAACACAGTCGAGAAAACATCTAATCTGGATTCCTGCTTGTACAAAACACTGACAAAATAGAGGATGAGTCCTCCTCATTCTATGCGAGTGGCTTTGATTTGGCTCACCACTATGAAGAGGAATAACTGTCATTTTTTCATTCTGTGATGTGACGCTGTACAAATCCAACATTTTGTTTTCTTAAGGAAAGAACCAGTTGTTCCCTTTATGAATAAAATCACAACTCATTGAAATGCATTCTGCAAATTAAATGGAAGCCATTTGCCAATTATACATGATTAAATTGTGCTAAGAATGAACAGAATTTAATTAAATGCTCTAAAAGGCCAGAAAATGACTTGTTATATAAAGTGAATAAATTACCATGGGGTCTTCGGCAGGACATTGCCTACAGTACAACCACAAGACCATCACCATGGAAACTTGAAGGATAAATCCACAAGTATCCAATCAGAGAACACAAATGTGTATATTTGAGTTTCTGGGAACATGAAGAAAGGGATCTATTGTTGTATATATATATATATATATATATATATATATATAAAAGTCATTTGTCGAGAACAAGGTCAGATTGCATTTCATTTAGTTTGTCATTTGCAATTACTATTGTTTAATTGTAAAAAGGATTTTTAAAAATGCTATTTATAAAATTACAATTCAAGAGGTGAATCAGGAAATTGGTGTTGCACATCACAATATCCTCTTCCAAAAAACTGCAAGGAAAAACCAAAACAAAACAATCACAATCAAATACGGTACGTTGGATGACTGCATATGATTTTGGCGTCATTCAGTTTATAATTTGGCTTTGGTGTTTGGGTGTCCACAGCTCAGCCGGCTCCGGAAGAACTCTACCACCTTCTTCCAGGCGAGCACCTCGGCGCGGGCGTGGGCTTGGGGCTCGCCCCCCCACATGACGACTGTGCGCAGGAACCCGTGCAGACCCGAGCGGCAGTAGGGCCCATAGGGCGGCTCCAGCAGGTGCCCGGCCCGTGGGTAGCACACCATCTCCACGTTCTCCTTCCCGGCCCGCCTGAGTCCATCCAAAAGAAAATGAGCAGACTTTCGTCAATACAAAAAGTCGAAATTTTATAAGAATTAAGATTTTTTTTTTTGGTTGAGGAAAAAAGTTTGGATCTTCTGAGAATGAAGTTGAGGTTTGTCAGAATCTTAAGAGACTGAAGGAGTATTTCTTTCCAAAAAAAAGTTGAAATATTCCAAGAAAAAAATGTTTGTTTTCCCCCCCAAAGAAAAATGTCATGATGTCATGAGGATAATGTCGAAATGTTATGAAGTTTGCACCGGAAAGTCCTCTTTTTGTAAGAATTCTATAATTTTTTTTATTTAAAAAGTCACAAAGGTGCATTTTTCACACACACAAAAAAGCCCAAATCATGCAAGAATAAAGTCGTATATTTGCTGAGATAAAAAGTCAAAATCTTGACAGACTTCTTCTTCTTCTTCTCCTTTCGGCACGTCCCTATTCAGGGGTCGCCACAGCGAGTCAGTAATTTCCATCCGCCCCTGTAAACCGTCCTACCAACTCGCATGGTCGTCTTGGCAAAAGTTTTACGCCGGATGCCATTCCTGACGCAACCCTCCCCATTTCTCCGGGCTTGGGACCGGCACTGGGGAACAGTGCACCCCCAGGGGAGGGCACTGCCCCCCAGCGGCTGGGTTAAAATCTTGACAGACTATAGTTGTATATTTGAGAACCAATCTTTTTTTTTTCGTTGAACTTTGGCAAGAATAAATTCGAAACATGTTTTTCATAAAACATCAAATGAGTCAAATAAAATGATTCACTGTATTGTATTAAATAGTGTGGTGATTAATTATGTAAGCCAGTGGTCCTCAACCACCCGTCCACGGCCCACGTGTACCGGGACGCACAGAGACAGACCAAGATCTTTTTTAGGTACCGGTATGTTTTTGGTGGGTGTCAGTCAAACACACAACCACCCTCCAACACCACCAAGCCCGTCGATTACCTTCCAAAGGGCAATATAAATAGGCCTGGGTGATTAAATGATCGAGATTTGTGATATTACGTGACCAGCAGCAAGCTGTGAGCATATTGACGCCATTACGGCCATTTACGTCGGAAATGTGTGCGACTCTAGTGAAGCTGAGTCCCCATTCTAACAATGCAAGTTGAAATAAACGGAATCCGCCAATAAATAAAAGAAGCAGTACATAGAAAGTAAAAGTAACAAATTGACGAAACGTACATCTAAAGGTGCAGCTGATGGGCAGCTATGACTCCCCAAGATGAAGCTACCGGTATTTTGACAAGACAAGTTCTTCCCCAGAGCGTTACACGATCTACCCACCGGAGTTGCGCCGCCATGCTTTCCATATAGGCCCGGCAGTCATACACACACACACACACACACACACACACAAATGTTGTCTCTTCACCGTTTTGGCACTGAGTGGACGTCTGACAGTTTCCCCACTAATCAAAGGAGACATTTCAAGCGAAGCCTCACGCAGCTCCCATGCAGCTGCAATAAAAGCCCAAGTTCAGCTTTCCAAAATGCAAGGCTCAAGCAAGCTCACATTTGACCAAAAGACAAGCGGCTGCCGGCATTCACATTTTCAACAAATGTCCTTCTTGTCCAAAACGTGCATACTTGCAGACAATCCAAAGGATAACAGCACAGGAGAGCTGAGATCGTTGCACGTACAGTATGTACCTGTCACTTTCCAATGATGGCCCCCTTCCTGTGGGTGGGAACCACCGTAATTGGCTGCAGATGGATTGGGAGGAGTGTGTGTGCGCGCAGTGTGTGTGCGTGTACACTGCTCCATCCAAAAATGACTTGAACATGTGCAGGGTGACTACGGTGAGAATGTAATGGGTTTTATTAGCTTCACTGCTAGCATCGTTGCCATCTTCAGCTTGTTTTGTTGTTTTTTTTAAGGGGAATTCAAATTTTAAAAACGGATTTACATGTTTTTTTTACATTAAATTATTTTGTTGACAAAATTGGTCTGAAAAATAAAAAATAACGTACAGAATTTATTATTTCATTTTAGTTTATTAAAATTTTCAGCTTCTTGTTTTTTTTTATAACTGGAGACTGTTCTTGAAATAAAATTCATATTTTATGTTTAGTCACATGTATTTCCATGAACAGTTTGATGAATGAACCATAAATCTTATTTAACATGAATTGCGGTTGTAATTTTCAGCGGACGGCTCTTTGTTATACGAGTGATATTACGTGACCAGCAGCAAGCTGTGAGCATATTGACGCCATTACGGCCATTTACGTCGGAAATGTGTGCGACTCTAGTGAAGCTGCGTCCGCATTCTAACAATGCAAGTTGAAATCAACGGAATCCGCCAATAAATAAAAGAAGCAGTACATAGAAAGTAAAAGTAACAAATTGATGAAACGTACATCTAAAGGCGCAGCTGATGGGCAGCTATGACTCCCCAAGATGAAGCTACTGGTATTTTGACAAGACAAGTTCTTCCCCAGAGCCTTAGACGATCTACTCACCAGAGTTGTGCTGCCATGCTTTCCATGGAGGCCCGGCAGTCACAGTTGAGGTCGTCCTCGGAAGCCAGGAAGAGGAAGTCGGCAGTGGCTTTCTCTATGGGGACCCGGCTGGTCCGGTTCTCTTCACTGTTGGGGTCGGTAACACCAAACTTGATGATGCTGGCACCGTCGGTAGTGGGTATGATCTTGGTCAAGTCCAAGGTCACGGGGGAGAGGACCTCTCGACCCCGGTAGTGCAGAGGCGCTCCCATGTTACCGCTGCAGGCGTTAATCCAGACCACCGCACGGACACCCGGCACGAAGGATGCCACAGACAAGGCAATGTCGCCCGCTTTGGAACGCCCGATCACACCCAACCTGTCACTGCCCACCTAAGAAGATCAACAACTGCCCATGTGACACCGAATACTCATATCCGACAATTATTTTTGAGGCCCATACAGATTCTGATATTTGTCAGAATATTGTGAAATAAATTCAGATAACCGGTTAATTGGCCTATGAATTATTTACAATTTTAAATGTTCACTGCTAGCATCGTTGCCATCTTCAGCTTGTTTTGTTGTTTTTTTTAAGGGGAATTCAAATTTTAAAAACGGATTTACATGTTTTTTTTACATTAAATTATTTTGTTGACAAAATTGGTCTGAAAAATAAAAAATAACGTACAGAATTTATTATTTCATTTTAGTTTATTAAAATTTTCAGCTTCTTGTTTTTTTTTATAACTGGAGACTGTTCTTGAAATAAAATTCATATTTTATGTTTAGTCACATGTATTTCCATGAACAGTTTGATGAATGAACCATAAATCTTATTTAACATGAATTGCGGTTGTAATTTTCAGCGGACGGCTCTTTGTTATACGAGGAGCTTCTCTAAGCACTAGAAAGGATTCTCAGTATGATGCGTGTCATACATGTCATGGAGCTCCTCTATTTTAAATCCATTCATTCAATTTAAAATAACAAATGATGGATGAATGTGCACAATTTTCCACTCCCTCCACACCAGCGAAAAGGTCATTTTGTCCCATCGCCTATGTCGCCTCAACCCTGGTCTAGATGGTTTCCTGTCAGAGTGACTGCAGGTGACAACATATTTTTTTAAAAATCATTATTACAATTATGATTTTTCACCACATCCTCTCATTTTACTGTAACAATAAGGTCACCCACCTCTGCAGCAGATGCTTTCTAAAACGCTGTCAGACTCATGTTTCATCAACACACAGAAAATGTCTGCTGATGTGTATGGCTAGCATTCTGAGCCGACTGTACAATGGACAAAAACAGAACGACATGAAATAATCCACAAAGTCACCAAAATCCACTGCACGATTGGCCACACAGACACATAGCATAATTCACGCAGTCAGCGCTTCCTCTCACTAGTTACTTTATGACAACCACCACCTTGCAGAATAGAAATTTACAGAAAAAACAAAAAATAATAAAAGTTATTTAAGCATGTATAGTTAGAGTCAGGTAAGCGCAGCCATGGAACCTCAGCTCAGCGCATACTTGACATAGCTTGGTGAGGAATGCATGAGGTGTATTCAAGGTCCTTGGGTGACTTGTACTTTCAGGCCTGCTACAGAATAAAAACCACATGGTGCTTGTTTTTCTTTCCTAGTGTACCTGGCATCCCACCCTGACCAAAAGTGTGATCAGCAGGACGGTTGGCTGTGTGTGTGTGTGTGTGTGTGTGTGTGTTTTCCACAGCTCCCAATTCTTTTCCCATCGTTTTTTGGGAGTTGGAAAATGTTTTTTCCTCTGGAGACTACATTGCCACGGTTAGAGAAAACATTTCAAACTTTTAATCGAAAATTTGATGGTCTCTGTTACTAGGATCAACACACGATGACGTGATAAACACCGCTATTAGCTTGTTAGCGCACTAGCTCGTTAGCTAGTGAACGCAGCATTTCAGTCCGAAATTATGGCCAGTCTTTCCACATTTCAGGAGTTATTTACAAACACATTGAATGTAAATAGAAAAAAAAAATAAAGAAATCAATAAATATAGAGCCACCCCTTGTTCTCAATGACTCATTGAAAGGTTTATCTCATTCCAACTGCTATAGTTACTTCTCAAAACCGAAGCAAGAGGTCCAGAAACACGCGAGGGTGGGTTCATTTTCCGTACGTTTGTGCACAAGAAATTTGTCTGTTTCGCACATGTCAACGAGAGTGTGTTTCTCAGGTGAGCTATACGAATACAGCTCACTTGGTTAGCCAGCTAAATATAGTCACGAGACGCCGCAGTGCTTTTATCTTAATTATTTCCAGACCTCTTCGTGCACTCAACACAAACACAACGCAGGACGAGGTAATGAAAATACCAGACTGACATTTAACATGATTACGTGGATGCCATTGAGTAAGGCAGCAATGGCACATTTGGGTGAGATTATATACAAATATATGCTTGATAGGCCTTCAAGCATGATACTTTTTCAATCCAAGTAAATGACATTTTTTGCATAAGAATGAAATCATATTTATTGAGGATCTCCAAAACAATCATCATTTGAAAAATCTCTCTAGCACCTAAAAATAAATTAATTCTTTTTTGGGGGAGTGGGGGGGGGGGGGGGGGGGG